ATTCAAAACATTATTTCGCTCCGAAAATTCATAAAAATTCGTAGGAAAGCTCGAACGTATTCAAATTGAAGATTGCTAAAATATGATAAAATATATTTACATGCTGTCAACAATCATCGGAAAATTATTTTTCTTGTTACTGAACCCCTGACTGAATAGTTTCCAAAAAATTACTATTGCCCTATGGCAAGAATTATCGAGACTTGACCGAGTTCTGGCAAGTCTTGGAATGAGGGACGTTTTACGTACATGTTCGTATATATAAGAAGAACGTCGTTTATGCGTATGGTTGTATACATAAAAAGAACGTCGTTTATGTATATGTTCGTAGCTATAAAACGAACGTCGTTTTATGTATAGGTTCGTATGTATATAGGGAACGTCGTTTTATGTATATGTTCATAGCTATAAAAGAACGTCACTTTATGTATATGTTCCTATAGATAAAAGGAACGTCGTTTTATGTATGTGTTCGTATGTATGAAAAGAACGTCATTTCGTGCATATGTTGCTATTTATAAAAAATATTACTCGGTACTCACTGCAGTGGGTGACAGAGAGCGCATTTCTCGTCGACGAAAACGTGAAGTCACGGACAGACGGACAGACGGACGGACAGACGGACATGGCTAGCACAATAGTGCATTTTTTCCATAAATGAGAAAATGCGATAAAAAGAACGTCGTTTCATGTATATGTTGGTATATATAAAATAATAACTCGGTTTATGCATTTGAAGGTCATTTTACAAGCCGATGATAGAAACCCAAGATGCTTAGCGATGATGTTATGGAGATGCTGATCGAAAAAATCTCCAATGAAACCATTGGGATTTTGAAAGGGGGGCCTTCACTGTTCAAGGCGAAAGCATATAATACATGTTTTGCTTACGATCTTTTGTTTTCGCGTGGTCAATATCCTCGATCCAATATGTTACATCATAAGTTATTGATGTATTATGCTGTTATGTAATGTAATAAGTTATTATAGGATAAGGATTGATGAAATAGGAGCAAAGTCTGTATATTTATATTATCAACATTCAGAGGTCCATAGAAATCAACTTGGGCGCATGGCTGAAATTACTTTTATATTACACTGAAGTAACACATGTAAGACATTGTGGAGAACTTAAAACAACTTTTGCTTGGCAAGTGACAATACTTGAATGAAATTTCAAGTTTTTAGAGTCGTGCCATCTGGATTTTGTAGCGGCTTTTCGTGACCAACAACTTAAAAGTGTACAGAAGTTTTTACAGTTTATCGCTTGTATTTCACAAGTTTTGTCCAGTGTCAAAATTTCTATTTTTGGATGCGCCCGAAAATGCTGAAAAGTTTTGATTTATCAAGATTTTCAGATACCTCAAAACTCGTTAACTATCACGGAGATAAATCTTTGGAAGTCCGGCTCCAAGAAGTTAATTACGGGTTTCATTGACAGAAGAGACTAGATACAAAACTTTGCCATGGGAGAAGCCTTCATAAGAACAATCACGAAAGTTCACTGATCATATGTTAGCAGACACATAGTTATTTTCTGAATTTACTTGATGATGATGTTAAATTATAAATACAAACAGAAGGTTAAGCAGCACGCTAGTTAATCGGCATCTATTTGAAGAATATTATCCACTATCCACGCTTTTTATCCCTTCACCACGAAGATTTTACACTTTATGCAACTTACATCGAGTAAACCCGATATTTTTCGGATGGACCAAATGATTGAAACAACGAAGTGTTTCATCCTCATGTTTTAACACTTCGAGGTGTTGAGGTGTTAAAACCTCATGTTTTAACACCTCATGTTTTAACGCTTCATGTTTTAACACTTTTAAAGAAACCCTTTTCCAAAAGAAGAAAAACTTCCCAATTTTTTCTCTGTTGAAATGTCATTGATGTTGGAAGTGTCAATAATTATTTGTATTTTGATTAGGGTCTTACAATAATAATGAACTATGGTGCATCAACAGGTTATTTGTACCATTTAAACACGATATCAGTCTGGTATAATTAAGACTGAGTATTATTTGTTTTGCGTCACACTACTGAACTTGATCAATCTTCATCTGAATCATGCCTTTTATTATGATGTAAAGCATTGTAATAAGAATTACGATATTAATTCCACGAATTTAAATAATGTAGACTCACCGAATTAAATCTATGCAATTCAAAAATATTTCAGCTGTATTTGTATCAGCCTGGTAGTTGAAGACTGTTGAATTACCAAGGTCAAAAAATGTTATCGAGGAAAACGAATAAGCAGGAAAAATTATACAAGAGACTCCACAAAACTTGCGAGGATTTTAAAATTGCAGAAATTGTTTTCCGGTGATGGTAGCGAACAAAAAATCGAAGCTTACAGGAATTGTTCTTCGGGCAATCCAAATTTGGCAATCAGGAGCTAAGATGCCTTGAGAACGTGATGAACTGTACTAAAAAATCTCACGGGATATTCAAATAATCATGCAGGGGGATTTTAATCGTCAGGAAAGCTAAGACACTCAGTGCGAAAATAAGAAAAATTGTATTGAATGCGATAATGTGAAGCACTCGCACTGTAAGAAAAATCACAGTTAAATAGTCTCATCGGTATTCTAGTAGCCGGCCGACACGTAAAAAGAAACACTGTATGGCCAATTTTATTTAAATTTAACGCTAGAAACCCGTACAACACTTGAAAATAACGGATGAACGATCACAACGAAAATACAACTGTCACAAGAACGCCAATGAGACAATTTTTGCCGTTTTTTTCGAAATGTGAAATTACGTAAGGTAGCCGATGAATTCGCCTGACATGTCATATAAAAACACGAATGTGGCCCATGATCTAATATTGCCCGAACATATGATGCCACTCAGTGGCTGAATGTAGTCCATGGACCAATCAATCTTACGATCGCAGCAATCATTGTTATTGCCTACGACGCCTTCGAGCTACAGAATGAGCCTCCTCAGCCAGAAGACTGGGTAACGAAATTAGTCTCGTGCACATATTGAAGTAATGGAGTAATAAGTTGTGGAGTAATTGAACACAGCGATCAAAAATTTTTTCATTTGATCGAATGCATTTTTATTCTATGACGTCAGGCATTAAATTAAGTCATATGCAGTTGGGTACATGTTTATTGCAAGGATTTTAGTTTATACGAATTTAGGAGAGTGCTCAATGCATCAACGAAAATAACTAAACTACGCATTTCAAGTTCGATTTTTCTGTGTTGAAGTAATTTCAGTAAAACCTCTTTTTTAATGTGACTATGCCAGTATTTTATAAAATAGAACAGGATGGGGAAGGAAATTATTCACAAAATTTTGTGCGTAGTCGTGTTTCTGAAAAATATAAAGTCTTAAAGGAATAGAAAAATATGCATACATATATATTGAAATTTTTTAAAAGCATCCGTCGCGCAATCATTGATTCCTATCTACTTTATTCGAAAACAAATTAATACCTTAGGTATTATTGAACATAACTTTCAAACCAATAAACAGCGAAAAACATGGTTGTTGACGCAGCTGAGCTTCATCCTTCGTTTTAATAATACCGTGCTTGAAAATATTTTTCTTGGAAATATTGCAACCCCGACGTGACACGCACATCTCGTTGATAATAAGCTGCTGATCAACGGTACTGAAGCGAATAAGTCTTATTTATGAATTTTCCTATTGTTCATTATTTATAAACTTATTAATTAAAGTATGTAAATCAGAGCTTCGATCACAGCCACAGGGAAACTGAATCTAATTTTAAACGAACGAGAGGAATAATAATTAAGGTATAAACTGGTATATGGTATTTAATATTATTCAGATATTATTTTTAGAAAAATATCGTTATTAATAGTGTGGATAATTAGCAGCTTTCTAAATAGTTTAAATATCAAGGGTATAAATATTTCTGAAAGACTTGAAATAGTGCAATTAAAATATTAATTTAAATTGTTAACTGCTGGAAAATATAAACACAAATATTGTCATCAAAAAATCAGTGGACACTTGAACGAAACGATTTGTTGGAAACTAACAAGCAATTATGGTCCCATTATTCGAACGTTGATTGCATCAAAGTCTAGAGACACGCGTTAACGCTTGGGTGTTTGGCTTCGTCGGGTGAGTTTCAGCTTTAATTTGAATATAATGTAAAAGAAAATAATAGGATTTAGTTTTGTGAAGGCGTAACCCAGTTTTATCTAACTTTAACTTCACAATAGGTTAAAAAATATAACTCAGTACTCACTGCAGTGAGTGACAGAGAGCGCATTTTCTCGTCGACGAAAACTTGAGGTCACGGACGGACAGATGGACGGACAGACAGACAGACGGGCATGGCGAGCACAATAGTGCATTTTTTCCCTAAATTGGAAAATGCGCTAAAAATGATGAAATTTAAGCTTACACATATTCTATGCAAGAGATAAGGATGCTGCTACTTACCGAAAAATCGTTCAAAAACATACAAACAGCATTAATTTTGGAATAAAATGTTCCTTAGCGAAGAAGGAAATTGAAGGATTCAGCAAATTAAACCTATCGTACTGTTTGAATTTTCTCGAATTCATCTTCACAAGAAGCTTGACTATACCCTTTAAGTTCGTGTTACCAATTTTACAAAATTAGTTATTGTGAAATTATATGCCATTTCTGTTTTCAAAATTGAATAAAGTCTACTTCACTGCTCGATATCCGATACAATTACTTACGGTATATGGAAAATATATGTCCAGTGCATGGTTACAGTTCAGCGTACCAAGATTGGCGCAGAGAGGCGCGGGTTCGATCCCAGCTCTGTGCGCCAGTTTCTGGTCAGAATCGGCAAGGAGGCCGGGCGTTTAAGCACAGCAGAACTGTAGCAGTGAGTTGCGTGTTCGAGACCGCAACAAGCTGTGAATGTTCTGTGATGTTGAGAATCGGCGACAGGCCTACGGCCTAATAACGCTGAAACCGCTTTTATTATTATTACTACTATTATTTAAGTGAATTTTTATTTTCAGGTTGTGTGGTCAGCAAAGCAACTTGATGATCCTGGACGGCCTGCTCAGTACTTACGACAGGCGAGCAACTCCATCCAACTACCTCAGTGAGTTACGCTACTTGTCATATTACATATATAATCTTTATTCATTCCGCTAAATGATTGTTATACTTCCCGTTACCTGTCTCTCAGTATGCTACGCTACTTATCAAATTACACATATAATTTTCATTGATTCTGCTAAATGAATGTTGCACTTCTGGTTAATTATTGCTAAAGCTTTTCTACCCCGGTCTTTCAAATTGAAAAAAAGTTCCAGCAGAAATTTTCCAGAATTGACGAACATCACTCATCATATTTTGTAATATAATCGCGATTATTTCGAACAGCTTCTTTATCATAAATGATGGCTTTTCGAACATACATATTCAGCAATCACAGAACTGATGCCCATCCGAAGATCAAAGTCCCGAACATTTGATTACGTTTGGTTTCCGTCGGTAAAAATTAAAGGCATTCGCTGGAGCGCTCTGTGCTCTTGATAGGAGCATTTGTCAGGGCCAATTTATTTAGTTCTACAATCGACTTCCACCGTCTGTTTAATTTCCGAAAACAAGATTAACGCAAATTGAGCCAGCAAATTGAGCCTAGTCAGATGCCACATACGAGTATATGCTCATAAATGCAAGAGAATAAAGGGCTGGAAAATATTTGGAAAATTTTTAATTAATATCGTATATGTTTGAGTGATAAGTTAACAACAGCTGTACCGGTCCCTTCCTCACTTCGGTTCAATTCGGTAAAATTCTCATAAATAACTGAAATTGTATTCCATCATACTAGCTGTACATTAAATTTTTCTAATGCGTTGGCGACTTCATAAATCCAATTCAATAATAATTCAACATAAATCTAGTTTCATAGCGTAATTTCTATCTTAGAGCTATAGCAAACCCATATAAAGCTCAAGTTTCTATCTCAAAGCTTCATTTCGAGCCCTTATAATCCTCAAATTTTAATCTTAAAACTTCAGTTCGAGCCCTTATAATCCTCAAGTTTCAATCTGAAAACTTCAGTTCGAGCCCTTATAAAGCTCAAGTTTCTATCTTAAAGCTTAATTTAGAGCCATTTTAAAGATATAGTTTCTATCTTAAAGCTCTATTTCGAGCCCTTATAAACGTCAAGTTTCTATCTTAAAGCTTCATTTAGAACCCATATAAACCTCAAGTTCTATCTTAAAGATTTATTTAGAGCCCTTATAAACCTTAAGTTCCTAGCTTAAAGTTTCATTTAGAGCCCTTATGAACCTCAAGTTCCTATCTTAAAACTCGATAGCTTGTAAGCTCGAATTTCCGTCTTATAGCTATATCGGGCATTTATATACAGTGGACCTTCACAAAGCCTAATATCGAGTAATATCTTAAAGTATTACAGCATTCCCTGACAAGGTTTAAGTCCCAATCTTGAAGTTTAAAAACCTGACCTTATAAGTCTCAAGTTACCATCTTAAAACTAGATGGTTCAGCCTTCAGCAAATAATTTTGACGCTCGACATTTTGAATAATTTTGAATACTCGAATACCTTCAAATCCTAAATTATGAATACCTAAAGATTTATGTTAGAGTTCATAAACCTTTCATTGGATGCGGGAAAAATAATTATCTTTAGCGTACATGCAAACTAGCAGCTTATGCGATAAAGTTAGTTATATTTTGACAAAGCCATTAAATAGGCGGTTTGAATATCTAAAAAACTTAATAACGCTTACGTGGGCGGGATTATTGCGTAATTACACTTTTGATTAAGGGATACTATAATAATTTCAAAGAAAAACTAACAATTCACTCTAAATTCGAGCCTCAATTAACCCGGAATCTGTCAACTTCACTGGATGTATACATGACAAATGACGTGTTATTCGTACGAGGCATTATACGGCAGGCTTCTTAATTGAAGTAAAGCAAAACCAGGAGCATCGTAGAGGTTTCTATCCGTTTTGGCTACGTTAAATGCGTGAAAATATCAAATTATAGCTTCTTAAAATGTTCAAACTGGCTCGATGAAAAAGTGCGTTGATAACTAAGCAAGAAGTTTTGAAGTCTCATACGATGAATTCGGGATAATTTTTGACAGAATGAGCCATGAACGAAGCTAATTTTTTTGAGTAGCGAAATGTACAAATTAAAGTTTATCATCGCGTCTAATAGTCATGTAATTTAGAAAAGGTCATAATGAACTGGAAATTTTTGTATACGAATTGTCGCGCACTCGCTCATCCCTTTCAGGATTTTACATGATAAAAATTATATTTTTTTATTTACCTGCTCGTCATCGCAACACCATTGAAGTTGCGTTTGATTACGATTACTTTTATGGAGGAAAAAAAATCCAGAGTTTTTTCCAGACAAGACACGGAACGGAAATCGTCCAAACAGCGGGGAAAATTCAATTATAACATCGCAATCAGTTAATAGAAAGAATGATTTCATGAACTATTGACGTAGCAACTGATCTGCGTTTTAATTAATCAAACAACAAATAAAAAGTTGTGCGATAAATTAGCACAGTTTTCTTTATTTTTAACCTTTCCGTATCATGGGATGCCAATGAGTCGTCTATCTGCTTAAAATATTAAAGGTGAATGAGATGAGTGAATTAAATTTCCGGTCGCTCACGCATAGATATTTTTTGAATTGTGGGAAGAAAATAGAGAGGGACGAAATAATCAGGAAATGGTCGGAATTTATCGATAAATTTAGAAATATTTTAAATATTTTTCAGAATAATGAGTTAAATGGCTTCAATAAGTCATTCATTGTAACCTGTTTAAATACCAATGTAATTTCGGCTACAAAATAAATGCTAAGCACAAAGACAATGTATATTGTGTTCGATAGCCACCTAAAAATCCGCAAAAAAAATTGACAAATGACTTTATTCAGTTAGAAGTGAAAATTAATAAACAGACAGCGAATTCCCATTTCTTTGTCGAGAGTGAAATGTAGCATCCAGCCAGTTACACAACGCGTCTCTAGCAAATCGAAGCTCGCATTAAAAATGCGAAGCCATTGTTTTTAACTCTGAATATTTCTTGTTTTTTATCCATTTACCCCGAACTTTGAAGTTCATCAAAAGGAATCATTGGACAAGCCATTTTTATTGACTACATTTGAAAGATTTTGAATGCTGTGTTGGTCCGATCATTTTTCGAACAAAGTCAGGGACATTGAAAGCCCATCTCATTTGTTGAATTTTGGCTCAAATTTTGGGTCGTCAGATAATTTTTTAATTTGAATAATTGTTTTGGCTAAGTAAATTTTTTAGCGAGTATATCGAACAGCATAATTTCGGGAGCATTTACATGAAGCTTGTATCGGGAACAAAATGAGATGGCAAACTAGCGACGTGCACTTCACCTGACTTTCAGATGAAGTCTTTATTAAAATATTAAATGGGTGCTTCGAATTTTTCCCAGTACTTGAGACAGAAAGGGCCGATCGTTGCCTTTTTTCCATCCCCTGAAGCACTTGCCTTGAAATTCCGACGAGTAGTTGAAACAAAAGGGTTATAATGTCAGCTAAACAACAGTTGAAAGTAACTTCTAAATGATACAGAAAGGCTATTTATGAAAGCATTTTCTCCAAGTCAGGGCGTAATATACACTATAAGCTAAAACACTTCGGATCTGCAAGAGCTCCGCGCATTAGTAATTTCATGTATTTAATTATTCTGAAACAAAAATGGTTGATTAAAAATTATACCTAATTATTAAACTTCAACATTCAAATTGCGCTGGATTACAGACCATGACCTTCAACCAGGAATGGCTTGCTTTATTAATATAAAACAAGTACGTATATACGGACGGAATACAACAGAGCAAATTTGTTGACAAATATTGTTCGCTTGTGTTCAGTTCTCACAAAACTCACATTTGTTTTAAAAAATCTGATTGGATATTATTTTTAACTTATAACTTGAAATATATAGATATTATTTTTAAATGGATCATAGCAATGGGCAATTATTATTCAAGTAGAAATTAGTATTTTAATAAAAAACCCTATATACTAAAACCATTGTCACTCATTTATCAGGAAGTAAAAATCAGTTAAATCCTTCACTAAAATCTCTCCAATTAAATAAAACTCTAATTAAATGGCAGTAGTGCTCTTATCGGACAGCAACTATATTTTATAAATCCTAGGGGGAAATAATCAATATTATAATTTTTAATTCCGTGTAATCGTAAATTGAGAAACTATGATGTTAAATGCCTAGAATTAAGATTCTCTCTAGTCAGTTAAAATCCTCTCGTCAAGTGAATAAAATATCGTATAAAAATATTATATTTAATTTTCAAACGGATGCATATTTTCCATGTCGCGATTTACATATACATTATCCAAGAGTTTCTTCACATTATTTGATGTCAAGATCAGTCATGCTTTCCGTATTGGTTCTCATATCAACTAGTGAAGCTCCTCGTTTAATTTATCTTAGGTCAACACGCTGGAAACAATTGACAAATTAACATTTGTTTTCAACAACGGCGCAGTCAGTAATCAGTTGTCAGCTCTGAGACAATCATCATTAACAAACAAACCTGCAGAAAGGTGATAAATTACAGTGTTATGATAACTTCTGAAACTAGAATTTTGCTGATATATAAAAAGTGAGAAGTGTTTCGTTCTAATTTTCTCATTGGTGCTGACCAATGTATAAAAAAATCTCTATTTTTACATTTTCAATGAAAAATCCGCAGCAATTTTTCAGACGTTCAGCATAGTTTAAGAGTAATCATTTACCCGAGAAGCATGGCGATTTGTGCTTCAGCCTTTCACTTTGCGAGGAAAGCTTCAAAGCTCAGCCATTTCACAGTAAACCTACTTTGCAGAGCCTCATTCTGTGCAAACTTTCAATTCCGGGCAGTGGAAGAAAACACTTGGCTTCATTTACCGGATTGAAGCTCGACCGTCCCGAGATTTAACGTTAGCATGTGAAGAAATTCTGCCGATGCGAAACATTTTGAACTTACAACACGTGTCTTTGCCATCATCTTCAAAATTAGGTTTAGCTCTGTGGAATGTTTGAACAAATAATC